GTTTGTTTAATTAATTTATTTATATCTGCCTTGTTCCAAAAAGGACTCGTGGTGGCTCACTCTCCTTGGAAGTGCTCACGGTGTAGTGGACCAAGGTCCCGGAATGGGCTCTGGTCCTGCAAGTCTACTTCCTAGTTGTGTGACCTTGGGCTTGTCACCCTCCCTCCCTCACCTCCCTACCCACCCCATTAGCTTTCATTACTGTAAAATGAAGACTTTGGACCAGGTGTCCCCTAATCACTCTGGGCACAGTCTGTGCTCAAACTACAGGCTGCAGCCTCAGTGTAGAGAGGGTGCAAGGCAGAGAAGTGAGGACGCTGGGAGGGAAATCATGTCCCGGATGGGGCCAAGTGGCCCTCAGCTGGGCCCTTGGGTTTAGCACCCAGGCAGCAGAGTGAAATGATGTAGAGGGCAGGCTCTGGAATCAGACAGACCTGAATTTAAATCCTGACTGTCATTTACCAGCTGCATGGCCTTGGATAAGCTACTTAATCTGTCTTGGCCTCAGTTTCCTTAGCTTTAAAAGAGGTGTCACAATATTTACCTCCCAGGGTTGTTAGGGGGTAGTGGATTAAATGAGCTGTGTAAAGTTCAGCAATGGCATGTAATAAGCTCTCGGTATTGTAACTGCTAATGGATGGTGGCTGGGCAGGGGCCAGCAGGACAATATATGGAGACCAACTAGGACACGGCTCCTTCCTTGGTCTATGGGGTCTTACTAAACCTACAGCAACCATATTTTCCAACCTCAGTCTAAAAACATGGCCTGAGAGTGGAGAAGGATATTGGAAATCAGAACTGTTTCAGAAAGCTCAGGCCATATGGCCACCATACTCCAGCCCTCTTCTTGGAGTCCTTGAAGGGGTGGTCTTCTTGTCCCATCAAGGTGAAGGCCAGGGGCCTCCTCCCATTGTTTAGGAAAGACTTCCCCTGGAACCAGCTCCCACCACGGGCAAATAGACCCATTTTGTGCTGACCCTGCTCTCTGAGACCAGGGCTTTGGTGTGGGGAGTCCAATACAGAGGCCATCTGGGCCCTATTCCCAAGGAACCTCTCTTACCTGCTTTGGATGGCAATTCTCTGGCTCCAAGGTTAGGTTCTGCTTTTAATTGGGAATATGGTGTTGTTCTCTGTCCTTGGGTAGAGGAACTGTAGGTGGGCAGGATGGTGTTAATGAGAGCAGGAAGGGCCTCCTGTGGACCAGAGTCCCTGCTTCCAGAAGCTAACAAGCAGTGGGGGTGAGTGAAGTGGGACATAGGTCTACCCAGGGGCCGCTGAGAGCTAGGAATGGGAGGGACTTGCCTTGCAAAGATGCCAAGCCAGTCAGGTTGCCAGTCCAGAGACCTTCTGCCAGGGTTCTGGCTTGAATGCTCCTAGGAGAGCCTCATTCACTTATTCAGTCATTCATTGAGTACCAACTGTAAGCCCAGCTCCGTGCCTGGCCCTGGAGCTCCAAGATGCGTCAGTCATGGTCCCTGCCCACAGGCGCTCACCAGGGGAAGGATGCTACCTAATTACTCACAGCCTCTCCTTTCCTGCTCACTCGGAAGCCTCCTCCTCTCTTTGAGCCCAGCTCTGCCGAAAGGGGCTTCAGTACTTGAATTGGCTGCAGCAGCGTCATAGCCCAGTTCCACCCCCTCTCTGCTGTCACCTCTGAGCCGACCTGTGGGCAGTGCCACTCTGAGCTCTCCCCCTCCGTTCTCCTGAGGAGGTCCCTTCGAGTGGTGGGCACAGACAACCGCTTCTTTTTCTCTTCCTTTCCTAGTCTTTTCTTCTGTGTTCTCTTGTCCTTTCTGCTCCTCCTCTACGCTCTTCTCCTTTTCTTCCTCGACCGCCTACCCTTCTCTAGGCCCTGGGCTGCCCTCCTTAGTGGGTACCCAGGCTGATGGGGAGACAGAGCCAGCAGGTTTATTCGGATGGCAGATGCCCTCCTCCCAGCCAGCGCTGCCCTGGGCTCCCTTTCTCCTCTCTTTGTGTCCTTTCTCAGACTCTCCCAACCTCCTTTCCTAACTCCCTTCCCACCCTCTCTGCTCACCTTCATTCCTCTCTTCCTTCCCTAGCTGAAGGAAGGGTGCCACCCCATTCTCCGGAGGGAGCCCGGGAGAGCCTATGGGCCCTTTGGCTGATTTGGGAGGGCCACCCCCTGTCCCCCACCAGTCATGCCGCTGCCCTCTCCTGCCCCTGTGGCTCTCCTCCCTGATTGCCCAGAACTTTCCATGTGCTCCTTCATGATTCGTCTTTACTGCTGCCTCTCCCCCTTTCCTCACCTTCCTTCTATCTTTGGGGAGTTTCCTCAAGCCTCCAGCAGCCTCTCTTAGGGGTTCTCTGAATGCTTTCTTCACGCCAGCTTGCTGTGCTGCACCTCTAGCACCTCCTTTCTTTTCCTCTCCCACACCCCTTCCTTCTCCTTCCCTGTCCCCGCCTCCCACCGCCACCTCTGCCTGGAACGGGCTTCCTTTTGCCTTCCTTTCCCCTCCCCGTTTCTCTCCATTGCTGCCTCTGTAACCTGTCTTATCACCAGGGCCTGAGTGTACAAAAAAATAAATAAATAAAAAGGTCAGTGAGTAGAGGGAGCAGCAATAACCCCTAAAACAGTACTATCAGTGGAACATGATTGATCAATTGAATTCCATAGCGGCTGAAAAATGTGGGATTAAGTAGTGTATTATACGCACAATGAGTTGAGGCATGATGTTCATTTCAAGTTCATTTCGCCGGCCTCTGCCACCAGATCAGGCAATCAATAGGGGCAGCAGATATCATATATCACCTCTCTGCGGGCTGGGGAGAGAGCACCATAATCTCTCGCAAATTTAGAGTGACAGATTTGTCAAGATCTGAAGGGCCCCTGAATAAATGAAGGAAAAGAGACTCCTCCAGCCAGTGACCTGAGGACAAAGCTTCAGTTCAGCCCCTACAGACACACACACACACACACACACACACACACACACACACACGGGCTTGGTCAAGCCACACACAGGCATATTCACAAATCTACACAGAGGCATGGTATGAGTCTCGCCACACACATGCACACATCCATGCACATGAGGTGTGGGCAGCCTCTCGCAGACAAGTGCACACTGTCCTTCCCAGGCCCACTGGTGACATGGCAACACAAAGACACCCTTACTGCCTCCCTCAGTCCTGACAGCCAGGCTTCCCACAAAGGTAGGAGGACTCTAGCAAGGAAGAATAGATCCAATGAAACATGCAAATAGCTACAAGGGGTGGAATTAGGATGATGGCACAGGGACAGGAGAACATGGGGGACCTGGGCTCCTGCTCCCCATGCAATGACACATGCGCACACACACACCTTTTCAGAAAAGTTCTCACTCTGTCACTTACACATACCCAGACGCTTATGTATGTGGATGTTTATATGTGTAGAGATGCATCTACACAGAGAATACTCACACAAAAGGGAAAAATAAATATGCCACACCCTAACAGAAAATCACTGTGGCGGCTTATACAGAAAAAACACAACCACCAAGTTTTGTATCCATAGTAACAGGGCACATAGAAACACCATTGAGGCTGTCTCTATGTCTGTTTGTCCTCCATAGACTTGATCCTGGTTTTCATATCTCTCTCTCTCTCTCTCTCTCTCTCTCTCTCTCTCCCTCCCTCCCTCCCTTACCTTTTCCCTCTCTCTCTCTCTTTCTTTGCCCCTCAACACACCCACTTTCTTTGCTTGCCCACCCCCGCCAGAATAAAATGGAGGGATGACAGGAGGTCGCATTAAGAAAACAGACCCCCATGCTCCGTCTGAGAGGCCAGCAAGAAAGGGTAGGACGGCTGCAGGTTGAGGTTAATCAATATGTAATATTTTCTATGTTCTCCCGAATGATACTGTACGGTGTTACTGTATATAATGCAATATTGATTATATCATATCGTATAATCACCTATAAACTGATATATATAACAGTCCCAGAGGATCATCCTGGGGCCTACAACATGGTCTGACCCCAGGCCCAAGGCTTCCCAGCTGCTTTTGGCCAAGCTATGGCTGGGGAGAACCCAGCTTTGGTCCAGGGGAGTTACAGGGTGGGGGTTCAGGGAGAGGTGGCAGAGTAGGCACTGGGCTCACTGTATACTCTGACAACTCCTGTGGCCCTGATATGGGAGGGTGGGGAAGCAGGGGAGCAGAAAGGAGAGAAAGCTTAGGGAGGGCAGGGTGTGGACAGAGTTGGCCAGCAGCCCCAGGGAGCAGGCACTAATGTGGCCCCACTGAGACCCATAGGAGGAACCAAGTGGCCAGGGAACTGGCCTCTGATAGAGGCCTAGCCAGAGTCCGGGTCAGGGACAGAGGCTGAGCAGGGTGCCTGGGCACCGCAGCATCCACACAGACTCTGTCTTCAGTCTCTGTCCGAGTTAGCATTTTACTGCTCACCTGCCACCTGCTGTCCTCCTGCTCTGGTCTCGGTCCTAGCCCAGTGCAAGCAACATGCCTCAGCTTGGCTTCAAGTCCCTCCTCCCTCTGTGGTGAAGTTAATTACTTCACCCAGTCTCCATGTTACACTCAGCCTCGGAGATTTGATGATTTTCCACCCTTGGAGTCAGTGGAACTGAAATTCATCTCAGAGGCACGTTCAATTCTCCACAGGCTGGGTCATGCCGGTCCCAGACACCCAGCTCCTCACCAGGTTGACCCAGACCAGGGGATAGGAGTTCAGGGGAGATGGCACCTGGGGACATGGCCCCTGAGAGCCCTTCTGGCTCCACCTCTGTCTAGTCCTCTGGCCCCCTATCCTGGGACAACTTTCCTGTCTCTCCCCAGCTCCTTCAGAGGCTCTGGCTTCCTGAGCCAGGTCTCTGAGGCATGGCCAGCCTTGGGCCAGCCCCTCCAGCCCCAGAGCTGGGAGTAAGGGGTCCCAGCAGGAGTGCAAAGCCCTAGGGACCAAGACAGGTGCCCTGCTTTACCCACTGCCCTACCCTGTGCCTCGGCTAGCCTGCACTGATGCTTCGAGTGTCCATGTGTCCCCCAGATGTGTCCGAGGGATCAGTCCCCAATGGAGACTCCCAGAGTGGCGTGGACAGTTTGCGGAAGCACTTGCGAGCTGACACCTTCACCCAGCAGCAGCTGGAAGCTTTGGATCGGGTCTTTGAGCGTCCTTCCTACCCTGACGTCTTCCAGGCATCAGAGCACATCAAATCAGAACAGGTGAGGAAGGCGCTTCCTGGGTGCAGAAGTGGAAAGGACCTGGGCAGAGCAGGCCTCTGGAGAACATGCACAGGGATCAGCCATGTGCACACCGGCATTGCATGTGCTGCTTATGGATGCACCGTGTGTGGGCCCTGTGAACAGGCTCACACAGCACATTATAGTAGAGTTGGGCAAACCATGATGGCATATGGTAGTTAGAAATGGTGAGTTCTGGGTGCGAGTGTGGCCTTGGGTAAGTCTTACTCCCTTCAGAGACTCGGTTTCCCCATCTATAGGTGAAGGGCTTGGAGGTGTGATCTGACAGATTCCTTCTGGCCCTGCCATTACCTGCTTCTGGTGTCGAGTACTCGGGAACTTCCTTTTGCCATGTCCCTTGCCTAAATCCTCCTCTCCCCCCCACCCCCCTGCCCCCGGGGTCCTACAGAAAGTCTATGCAAGTCCAAGGCACTCTTCTTGCCCTGCTGTCCCTGCCTCCTGCTCCCCGATCCAGCTGTCCGGTGTGATCCCAGGCAGGCTGACAGCCTACCTCTCAGACCCAGTACTTCCTGCAGATGCAGAACAGCCCAGGACACACAGCATGGGACGCCACCCACAGCACACCCGCATAATACACAGTGTACAAACACATCGGCTAACTTCTCACATTAACCCTGTGCACATGTTTACCACCACCACCACCCACTGGCTCCCTCTCCCCCACAGCCCACAGTGCTCCCAGTATTCCCCCCACCAGCTCAGCCCCCGCCAGCCCCCTTCCACCCACACCTCAGTGTAGCCCACAGTGCACACACTCAAACACAGGAACACACCCCCATTCCTCCCACACCTACAGCCCAGCCCAGGCCCACAACTACAGCACCACACACTCAGCTGCGCTTGCACACACACACGGTGCATGCTCACACACACAGCACACATGCACACACACACACACACCAGCACATAAGCACACGTGTACCAGCGCAGCCCCACGGGCTCCACACAGCACAGTTCTGCTCTAGGACTCCAACAGCTCACAGCCACTCGCCTTTCTCCCCGCCCGTCCTTTTATCCTATAAGCTGTTTGTCTTCATAAAACAAAAATCAAAAGTCTTTTTAAGGTGCCCTGAGCCATAAACCAACAAAGGAGGAGCCGGCCGAGGCAGGAGCCTCGGTGCACCCTCCCCGAGTCCCCGGCTGTATTACAATGAATAACCTTTATTTACTTTCATTAGACTATTAAACACCAGCACAGTCATTTTTCCCCCTGAAACTCGGAGCAGGGCCCATAAAGCAAATCCGAAGCCTAATTGAGTTCATTTTAATTTCTCTCCGATCACAGCGAATTACTCTGGTGATAAATCAGGGGGCAGCTTCACCCCCAGTAGAAGGCCTAATTTGCAGCTAATTACAAAACTGATTTCTACAGGAAGATCAATACGAGAAGGAATTGGAAATGACGAGGCAATCCCGTCCAGCCAGGGAGGGGAGGGGGTCCTCGGGGGGGGGCCAGGAAGCGGAAGGGAAAAAAACGGACCCGAAAGAGCAGAAAATCAGTTTTAATTTAACGTAATATTAATCAGAGCAACTTTTCCTGCTTTGTGCAGGCTCCTGGCCTGCCCAGCTCTGGGGTCTGGCTTGGCGGTGGCTGCAATAAAAAGGCAATTACCCGAGTGTTTCGGGCAGGACACCTTTTCAGAGTCAATGACTGGCCCCCTCCCACCCTTCTGTTAGCCATGTGGACTCTCCCCCTCCCCAATTTCATACCCCAGTGCACAGGCAGAGAGCGAGGGGCCCATGGGGCTGTCTTTGTTTGTTTTTTAAAAAAGGGGCGCCAGCACCCGATCAGCCAGCCCAGCAGTGCCAGGCTGGAGGCCCCACTAGGCCCTTCTGCCATCATGTCATGGTCCACCCCTCCTCCCCAAGGCTCCCCACCCCAAGGGGACCTTAAAACAGCCCTTGCCTCTCAGCAGGGGATCCTCAGTGCTATGCTCCACCCTTGGGGCTTCCTAGGAAGAGCTGCTACAGCAATATAGAGGGTGCTGGGAAAATGACCGATAATGTATAGGCTGCACCTCAGCTTCCCAGTCAGGTCTGCATCCACCCATACAAACTCTCCATCATCCTCCAGCCCGCCCCTCCCACCCTCCCTCCCTCTCCCTGGCCATCTCCTTCCACCCCATCTGGGAGGGCTCCCTGGTCCTCCTCCCCATCTGCACACTGAGCTCTTTCTCCGAGTGTGTGCATCAATAGAGAGCTGTCGCTTTTCTCTCTCCTCCCAGGGGAACGAGTACTCCCTCCCAGCCCTGACCCCTGGGCTTGATGAAGTCAAGTCGAGTCTATCTGCATCCACCAACCCCGAGCTGGGCAGCAACGTGTCAGGCACGCAGACATACCCCGTTGTGACCGGTAAGAGGGCTTCCAGGAGGGTGGGAGCATGGCTTTCAGTGGGAGCTCCTCAGCTCATGCCGTCTGGGGCCCAGGGGGACAAGTGGGCCTCCTGCCATATCTGCAGAGAGAGTGAGGCTCCCAAATCCAGGGTGCTTCCCGGATGGATGTGTGCAGATGTGCGGATAAGAAACTGTGGTCAGGGTCTCTGTGTGCTTCCCCCCGGAAAGGGGGTCGTTGATGGCTCTTTCTGCCAATCCTCTTTCCTCTCTCTTTGCCTTTATTCTTGCCTCCACCGAGGTGCCCAGCATTATAAGCCTCTAACTAGGATTTGCGCAGGAGAAGGCAGAGAGTAAATAGGCCAGGCTGGCAGGAGGGAGCATGAGTGCCCAGGGTCCAGCCTCCATGCTCTTAGGTCCCCAGGGTTGTTGGAAACCTGTTTTCCTCTCCCACTGGGCAGCCTGGGTGGCTGTGGCTTAGGCTTCGGGACATGGCATCCAGCTCTCTGGTTATAGAAAAGCACACTTATCCCAGTGCTTTCCCGGCTTCCCAGAGAAATCACAGAGGCCAAGGCTTGATCCAAGGCCAGAGAGGTGGGGCCTGTCCCACAGGCAATGCAGGGTCCCATAATCCGGGTGCTCCCGTGGACTAGGATCAGCAGAGGCAGCTGGAGCGAAAGAAGGCGGGGATGTGGCGCGGTGAGGGCCAGCCGATGAACGCTAGGCCTCAGAGCTGTCGGCTGCGGAAGGCGCCTGGCACTGCAGAAGGGTTTCCAGGCCAGGGAAGTGCCCAAGTGGGAGAGACACACATTGAGGTGTTATTAAAATTCACCTAATTATTCTGGAGCCACTAAAGGCAATGTGCCGTTTGTTCCTTGGGAGACAGAATGATTGAGAAGGGTCTCGGTGGGGATTGGGAGACACTGAGGCGTTACCTGCCGAGCGAGGAGAGCGGAGGCGGCCTGGGGACCTGGCAGCAGGGTGGCAAGCGTCCAGCATCACAGCCAGTGGCAAGACCAGGAGCAGGCCTGGCCCCGCTCGCTGTAAGACAGGGCCCTGGTTCTGACTTGGAGGTGATCTGGGTATGGCTCAGGCCTGAGATGGGCAGCAGGTGTCCACCCAGCCACCACCTGGGAGGCTGGGAGAGCCCTGTTGTTAGCTTTCCCTCAAGCGGTGTCCTGGTACGACGTTTCCGGCCTGGACGGTGTTGAGCTCTGTGGCTAGACAATCAGAGGTTAAGTTCCGGAAGTGTCAGAGAACTGTGTGATCGGGCTTTTGAAAGTGACAATCTTAGCTGGATCAGGACACAGCCTATCAACTGACACTTGGCATGAGCTCTCTGTAGCTCAACTTGGAAGCTCTCTGAGCTGCTGGGTATTGTGACCCTAGGCAGGGAGATGGCCCAGGCCAGGCCACCTTTCTCCTGATCTGCCCAGAGTTACGGTGTCACTTCCCATTGGGGCCACCCTAGGTAGCTGGTGTAACAGAGCCCAGGAGACTTTTCTCTAATCCCAGCTGTGCTCCCCTGGGCTCAGGGCCACAGTCCTGAAGGCAGGTGCTTCCTGGGCTGGAGAGATGGAATTTGGGGGCAGGGCTCCTGCTGCAGGAAAACTTGGGGCTAGTGGAGAAAAGTCCCTCCACTTTGAGCCTTTTTCCTGGAACAGTCCCAGCCCAGCCTGGGAACATCTCCGGCTGATCCATCTGGATCCAAGTGTGAGAAAAGTTCATTTCAGACCCAGCTTGACATTCCCAGGTGGCAAGTTAGCACTAACATCTCAATCTGTATGCGACATTTCAATCAAGCGAGGAGTAACAAAAGCAGAACCATTAACATTCGGAGCTGTTCACCAGTGGTAATGACGGGGAAACTCGCTCAGAAACTGGAAATTACCAAAAAGAGAGAAGTGTGTGGAGATGTGGGGGAGGGGAAGTAGAAGGGGATGGGGGCAGGGAATGATTTTTCTACACTTAGGCCAAGATCCAATGTTTGGATGAATGGTGCCATTACCCGAGAAAGGGCTCCTCATTCTTAAAATGTTTTTGCTGGCAATTAAACGGCTGCAGTTATTGATCTTCGTTGATTTTATGTCCTCCTAATTTGCATAATCTATTAAAGATGAATGATTCATGATGTGTTTATTATGGGGACAAACAGAATTTGCTGAAGGTACTGTCAAGGTGAGAAACAGGGCAGTGGCCAAAGATTTCATGGGCCATCTCAGGAGTGGGTCCAGCAGATTGGCCTTCAGGCCAGGACTTTGTGGGGAGCAGTGAGCAGTGATGCCAGGAGAGCAGACACAGAGTTCTCTAGAAAGATGTGGGCATCTGGGGGAACCAGGCTCCAAGCATGGTTGGGATCTGGGAGAGGCTGTGATGTATTTGTAGAAATTCCTTCCCAAGATTCTTGAAAAGCTGACTTTGTTGGTGACTATGAAGGGCTTTTGTGGAGGAAGAAAAGGGAGGCCCTTTCAGGTAGGTGTCTGGCCAGGTATGTGCTCAATGTGAGCGGGCAGGGGGGCATCCTGTGCCTACAGCCTGGCTTAGGTGTACCAGTTCGAGCCCTCTTCATTCCCCACGTCTCAGGCACCCAGCTCATCTTCCCTGGGGACAGGCAGCTGAAGCCGAAGCTGCCTCTGGGGATGAGTCCTGAGGAAACCAGCCCGGAATGCCCTAGCCTGACTTGAGGAGCCGACCTTATTGATATTCCTGCCACCTCCTGGCACTGGAAGCTGATTTCAAACTTCACCAGCCACTTGATACAGCTGTTCCACAAGGTCAGGACTGAGAGGAGAGAGGAGCTTGGACTATTGTGTGGAGGGGAGAGTGGGCCCAGTGGGCCAGGACACAGCTAATCACATTGCAAGCAAGGGTGGCTGCCAGAGGCTGGGGCTCGGCCCGATAGCCTCCCCTCCCCACCTTCCATCATGGAACCAAGGAGAGAGACTGATTTTTCTGGGTAGTGTTTGCAAGTTCTGCCGAGATTTTAATTTCACTGCATCACAACTCAGCAAGCTGCCAAGTCAAGCTGGTTATTTAAATTTATCACCCACTTTCCCTTCCGCCGCTGGGCTGCTCTAGCTCAGCGGCACCTCTTCTCTCCAGCCCACTGCTCTAGGCTGCTGATCTGGAACGGAGCCGAGTCGCTCCTAAGTGATAAGAAAAAAGGGACCAGCTAGACGAGAGAGGAGGTTGGGGGCACTCTGGCCCCAGGCTTCCTCAGGTTGGCTGGCTGTGGCTGGTACCGTCTTCTAACTTCTTATTCTTCCAAAGGACCCCACAGGGAGCTGCCATCAACCCCTCAGTGGTCCCAGGGACCTCTGCATCAGGGCCTCTTCAGTGAGGACTCTGCCTCCAGCTGTGAATTAGTGCCTTCATTCCTTCAAGTCTCTCATCACTGGTAGAAAGAGCCCCTCTTCCCTATGCCCTCCTCACCTTGAACCCTCCCTTCCTGTGCCTGGTCAGTTCTGCAGCCACAGAGGAACATGAGGGGACACTGGCATTAATGTTGATCTGGGAGAAGATGAGTACTAGTTTCAGGATTCCCAAAGTCCCTTGGAGATGCTTCTGAGCATTTAGAGAGTCGCTTGGCCTGGTGAAAGTCCACCCCGCAGGTGGAGCTGAATGGAATGAGACGGTGCTGGAGAGCGTTAGGGCTGTGCGGAGGCTCTGCCTGCTCCTTCTAGAAGCTGAGGAATACACCGGTCTCCGCAGCTATTGCACTGAGCGGCCGTCACCGGCCTGTAGTGTGCATCACTGTCACGCACTGGGAAAGCTTCATGCAAATGTAGTTCTCACCGCTTCATCTTAGTCCCAGAGAGGTAATGGAGGAGTGAGACTGAGTTCCAGAAGCAAGGAAGGTGAAACTCCCCAAAACACAGCTGGGTAAAACATAACAAGAATTGTTTACACATGACCAAACCTCACTCTCTGGTACCAGAAATAGAGGGAAACTCAAAGCCAGAGCAGTATGTGAGGGACTGTTGGTATCATCCTGGAGGCTGGGGTTGAACAAGGGCAAACTTTTTCTGCAGAGACATTCCCCAATCCAGGGCACCTGGGACTCCCACAGGGAAAAAAAAATCCACCAGTCAAGATGAGCTCACTATAAAAAATTACACACCTCATATCAACACACACTATCACGAGGAAAGTTCACAGAAGCAATAATTAGGACAATTAATACCCCCTAGCACTGGAGAGCATAGATCAGTGATGGCGAACCTTTTGAGCTTGGTGTGCCAGCATTTTGAAAAACCCTAACTTAACTCTGGTGCCGTGTCACATATAGAAATTTTTTGATATTTGCAACCATAGTAAAACAAAGACTTATATTTTTGATATTTATTTTATATATTTAAATGCCATTTAACAAAGAAAAATCAACCAAAAAAATGAGTTCGCGTGTCATAGGTTCGCCATCACTGGCATAGATCAATGCAAAGTAACTATAAAATAAGCATATTTAATATTCTAAAAAAGATAAGAGAAATATAGTTTTGTGATTATCACAGATTTGGATCCTACTTCCCCTTCCCCACCACTGCTCAGTAAATTGTGAGATATGGAGATAATAAAGGATTTTAAAAAATGAAGACCACACCTATAGCTTATTGTTTTGGAATTTGGGAGCCATGGAAAGGGATGAACCTCAAGTAGCCTTTCAAGTAAAGTCTGTCCCCTGCTTAGCAGCCAAGCTTCCAGACAGCTAAGTCTCAGCAGAGAATCTTCTATTTTCTTTGGGAAAATGTCTGAATGTTGGAAATAATGCCAGGGGCAGTGCATTCCTCCCCAGTGGTATGGGGGCCTTGTTGGCTTCCCCACGCTGGTGGGAAGAAGGTAGTTTTATTCAAGAGCTTGGAAGAGACTTCTCTGGATGCCTAGAGAGAGACTGCAGCTCTGAAGGAATCCATAGCTAAGAACCAGGAGGCGATGTGGTTGCTGCCCAAAGCAGGGAGAGGGAGATGCTGGTTTGAGCAGAGGTGGAGAGCCCAGTCAGGCAAAGTTCAAAGCAAAGCAAGGGCT